TTCTAAAATTAATTTTAACTTTTGGGTTATTTCACGATAATAAGTAAATTTATTACATATTTATTTTAAACATTGGATATAAGAAATCAACAGTTAAATAATTTTTGTAGATAAAAAAATTACACTTTTTTTAAAAAAATAATTTTTATAAAAGGTACTCATAAGAATATACCATACCTTCCTTTTTCCTTTTCTTTTTTTTTTTCCCGGTAAATGAATATACCATATCATTTGTTCTTTATTTAGTTTCCATTTATAACACATTTTAAAGGATTTTTTGGGTTTTTAAAAAGAAGCAGAAATGGGAATTGGAAGCAGAGTTTTCGCCTCCAAATCTAACCCGCTCGTCTTCCTACTTCCCTCCCTTGCTTCCACCCAACTCAGCTTCAAATCAATCCTCAACCGTACTCCGTCGCCGACGACGACCTTCAGGGTTCAACGAATGGCCAGCAGAGCTTCTGCATCCCCATCTTCCATCACAGGCGGCGACGACAACAACCGTCCTGCTCCAGCTGCAAATGCGGAGGTCTCCGCTTCATCCGCCATCGATTTCCTCTCCCTCTGCCACCGCCTCAAGGTACCAAAAAATCAAAACTTTACAATATCTTATCCAGTGGAATTTCAGCTCTGTTTTATTGCTGCCTAAACTAAACTGTGGGTTACACTTACTCCAATTGGTTCTTTGTTTCGACGATGCGTAAATTTGGGATTAGACAACAAAAAGAGCTGGATGGGTAAGGAGAGATGTAAAGGATCCAGAATCAATAGCTGATCATATGTACAGAATGGGATTAATGGCTCTTATTGCTTCAGATATTCCTGGTGTTGACCGAGACAAGTTAGGGGTTTGTTCCTTCTATTTTGTGCAATATGTTGAGGATATTTCCCCTTTGAAGTGGATTAATGTTGGGGTTTTCTTTGTTTTTCAGGTGTATTAAAATGGCAATAGTTCATGACATTGCAGAAGGTCTGATAATTTTCTTTTAAGAGATTGATTATGTACTGAGCTTTAGTTTTATATAAAGTTGGCAATGATATGTGGAATGGTGATTAATTAATTATGTAATTATGCGTTTATTTACTTATTTATTTGGTTCTCTTTTCTTATGATGAGATCATGCTTATTTCAGATCCTACACTACTATTCTGTAAAATTGTTGTCTTTTCTTAAGTTTTTGATAAATCCAGACTTGTTTTCTTACTTTGTGAATTGTTCGAGCAGCCATTGTTGGTGACATAACCCCTTCAGATGGGATTTCAAAAGCTGAGAAAAGTCGAAGAGAGCAGGAAGCATTGGATCATATGTGCAAATTGCTAGGTGGAGGAGCAAGAGGTACTCACTAATTTCTCCTTTTCTAGTCTCTACCACTAAAACAACAGGGGGAAAAGCCACAGGATTCAGTAACTTAGTTGAACCTGCAAAATACAGCAAAGGAAGTAGGTGAGCTGTGGATGGAGTATGAGGAAAATTCATCCCCAGAAGCCAAAATTGTGAAGGACTTTGACAAGGTATATCACAAGCATAAATGTCTCTTTTTAAAAAATAAGTTTCATGAAGTCAAGTCCTTCTGATCTTGTTGATTTTGTGCTCCATTTAGGTGGAGATGATACTTCAAGCCTTAGAATATGAGAATGGTAAGGCTACTTATAAGATCCTGTTAAGTAAGTAATTTCACATGGAATCATGTTCTATAGTAACTTTTTTCATTGAATATTTACTTTAAGATTCTAAATTTTGAATAACAATAATAAATTTAAGTTATTGAATTCTGATTGCTTTGTTGTTTTAAGATTTATACTTGATAGTTGTTCTTATATGAAAGTTGTTAAATGTAAGGGAGTATGAATTATATGAAAGTTGCCCCAACCACCATCACTGACATTAAGAATTTAGTTTGGTGGCCAAAATATTATAGCGTTGTCTGCCGTTAGGCAGTTTGATTAAGGTTTCAAGATTCAATTGTGTTAATTTTGTAACAGATGGCACCACTTTGCATGTTTTTTATGGCTTTAATTATCTTGTGATTATTTGAGAGACATAATCAGAATGATATAAATTATCCTTCTGTCACCATGCCCTAATTCTTATAGATGAATCACTAATTCCTTGATATTTTAAAACCATGGGCACAAATGCACTCTTTTAGCCAGTATCCTTAAACAGTTTTTGGAATCTTTGGATGGAGTATAGCTTGAAATTTTGTGTTTCAATACTGAAAATCCTGGGGGATAATAGAATATAATAATGGATTTTTCTAAGGGCATAGGTTAGGAGCACCTTTTTGCAATCAATTTGTATAGGAAAATGTAAAAGTAAACATTAATTTTAGTGTCAATGCCATGTGGATAAATTTAATTAGACAGTTGATAAATTAAATGTGACTGTTTATTTTTTCAAAACTCTTAACTTGTGCCCTTAAGGCACAGGTTAGAAAAACCCTATAATAATTATATAAGTAATCAAATGAAGGCAAACAAGAATGGGGTAATCTTTGGATTTTCAGTTGTTCATGGTTTGGGGTACCAAAGGTTTGTTTCTGTGAAGTGTTTCACCACCCTAGGCAAATAGATGAACTATTAAGGAAATTCCAGTTTAGAGAAAGCCAGTGGCAACCAAAACTAAGTTAAAATATAAGAGAAAGGATTGGAGAATAAGATTACCCAATTCTTTTCTTAATGATATGCAAATGCAACCATCCATTCATGATACTGATATGGCAGAATTCTATCTAAAACACAACTTTGGCTGAATAATGACAAATAGACATACAATTTTGGTATGCAACTGCTAGAGAAATCATGATGAGTAGCCTGACCTTGACTCAATTAAACTATAGAAAGATCTGACTGATGTGCGCGTTCCTTTTGGCGTTTGTAGCCCCCTTATTGGATTTTAGAATTGCTGGATTTTATGAAGTCAAGCATTCAGCAGTAGTCCTGAAATATTTTAATATTATTATTATTATTCTATTTAGCATCAGACGTATCTTTTAATTTGTGTCCTGTTTGCTTGGGGACCTAATTTTTACATAAAGTCTCTCTTGGTGGCTTGTACTATCTTGCTGGTGTTTCTGGTTAATATTCACCATGGTCTGGTCAAAGAAGATAATAGAGCTTAAATTTAAATGACATATTTAATGGGCTTTTCTAATATTCTCTGATGCATATCATTTGATCTATAGATCATATTTAAAAAGGTAAATAGTTTATAAAATAATTGACCTGATTGTGTCACTGTTATATTTTACATTGTGGAAT